TTTTTCCCGGCCCGGGCTCGGCTCGGCTCGTTGCCACCCCTACTCGTCGACTCTCCATGATGCAACTACTCCGACGACTCTTTACGGTGCACCCACTGCAACGACTATTTACAGCTTAGTACAACGCTTCTTCGTACTAGGCGGAGTGTCAACGTAATGACGATGTCAGAGCAACAGTTGCTCTCACGGTGCACCTCCACCTCTGTGGCGATGTCATCGTTGCACACAAAAATAAAAAGAAGATTTTGCACGATCTGGGAAAAGACAATTTGCGGAAAGACGCTACTGCCATCTGTCGCGATTTGATTCAGCATGCGAATGGAGTCGTCGCTTCAGGGGCAATGATGTCTTGCTGCGAATGGCGTGAACGTCGTTGTGTAATTTGGATCTTGGGAAAAACTCAGTAATCATCGGTGCCAGGGTCCCTACTTCACTACTTTTTAAGTATGGAGGCAGCACTATGCTCGAAGCAACGACGAGACGAGCTATCGCGATCCAGTGTGAGGGCATCACCGTTGATTTTAATCTAACAGTGGTTGATCTACAGCGACGCATATTTGTTATTTCCTTTTTTTTTTTTTTTAATTTCCAAGTTTGATTTCTCTAATGGTTATGGTAGTTTGTGTGGTTGATGGTTGATGTGGGTGTGGGTGTGTGTGGTTTACGGTTGTTAGGTCACAACGGTGGCGTGTGTTGTGGTGGTGAGGTGGTAAAGCTGCGGCGGTGATGATTAGTTGGTATTGGTGTTTAGTGTTGTTGTGGTGGTAATGGCGACAACGATAGCAATGGCAGTGGAGTGGGGAGGAAAGGTGTGACCCGTTATTTAGGCGTTGTGACTAATAAATTTGTTAGTTTGTGAGCAATAAATAATTTGACCCAAATGAATGTGTGATTATGAGTTAATTTGGAATCATGACTTGAATTTGGTAAGTTGTGACTAACCAATTCAATGATTTGTGGAAAATAACTTGTGACCATCTAATTCAATAGTTAGTAGTTGAGATTTGTAACCTATAAATTTTTTGATTTATGATCGATTAATAAATTGTGACTTATAAATTTTTTATTTATGATCGCTATATAATTTATGATCAAATAATATAGAATTGTGACCTCAATATATTTAATTAGTAAATTATATTTTTAAGTAATTATTTCATAAATAAAATTTAATTAATATCTGATTTTGAAATTTTAAACTTTGATTTTTAATTTTGAAATTAATCATGCTTAATCTCTTATATATGAATTTTTTTTCTTTAAAAAATTGGCTTTAACTCGGCCCATTTCACAATACCAAGTTCAAGTCAAAATCTGGCCCATGTCAAGAATCATAATCACCGTCTTCGCTGCCCAAAGAGGCCACTGTTGGAAAACACAAGAAAGCGTCCATAAAATGCTAGAAATCGCAAATCTACATCGACGCGTCACCCTGGGACCACCGCCACCATGACTTCCACATAGCAACCGCAGCAACGCCCGAGAGTGCCGCTGCTACATGGGACGGCAGTGGCACCGAGGTTTTCCATTGCGTTTCGCGCGAAGTGGCGGTAACCGAAGGCACCACAATAATGCGCAAGTCGCGACAACAATCTGTGCTTCCCACCATCACGGCGCATACGTCCTCCTCTTCTCCTCTTGCGGTGCGGGTCCTTCAATATGGAAGACGGTGAAGTTTGATCCCTTGTCGCATAATTGCATATTAGGTCCCGAAACAAAATTGAAGATTAGGTACTTTGAATTGATTTGTAGAACAAGTCCTCTAAAACAAAACTGCAGCAGCAAACCCAACAAAAATACAAATATTAACTATATTTCAAAAATTAAGATCAAAGGGGAAAACATGGAGTCGTAATTCACCGCCTTTGTCACGTGACTCGATTCAACAATACATGATATCGGCACAAAACTCCTTGGCCATAAATATGTTCAATAAAAAATCATTCATTAACAAAATAAATTACATAATCCTAACAACGTCCTTTACTATCTCTTGCATAATCCAAAATTATTCAATTCTTGATATGCAAAATAATATCAAAATCTAGAATCTGATACTAGTTGTTGGAAAAATAAAAGATTTTATTAAAGGATTTTACGATGATTTTTCTTTTTAAACCTTAATATAAGTGTCAATTATAATATGAATTTGATTAGGAAATATCATAATCCCAAAAGAACTCTCTTTCTTTTGCTTGGATAAAGATACTAAACTAAAAGGACTCTTTTAATTGTAATCCAAATCAAAGTCTTCCATATCTTAAATGGCATGTACGTGATACATTCCGATTTTTTAATTTATCCTTCTATGGTTAATAATAAATTATAACTCTTATAATTTATTCTGATTCTTCTTTTGAAGCTAGTGAAGGTACCAAACGGATCCAGTAAAAAACGAGGTTGGACTCTCAACTTAACTGAAATTACTAAAGCTACATGAACAATAATTTTTTTTCTTACATAATACCCCCGCTGATCATGTTGAATATTATGAACAAGGTAAAAATGACCAAAATGTCCTTTCTCAAATATATGTTAAATTCTAGTCTCGTTTTCTATCTTACAATTTCATGTCATCACATCACAATATTAATTCAATTGTTAATGTCGAATTACTGAGCTCAGATTTAACTATCCTCTAGAAAATCTCTTGAAGTCATGATCGTGCCTGTTAAATAGGTTACATATTCCATATCGCGAATATATGTTCTCCAATTGTTTCACTTTAATTTCCAAGGCATTGAGATATTAATTAACAACTTAATATCACTCATTGATACCTCAAAGAAATTCAAGTTCGTAATCAAAGTTCATTATCCACTCAGAATTAACATGCTACATACAGTAGTCAAGTGAAATTAAATTCATGTGGTCAATTCCATAAATTAATTTCACGTGATCAAGTCCAATACATTCAAAAAATGTACAATCAATTTTATTACCAACATAAAGTAAAAGTGCTACAAATTCACTTCCACTTCCTTTCACAAATAGAGAATAATCAGCTTTGGATTGTGTGAGTCCCTCTCTTAGCATGCATTGTGTGAATTTGATGTTCCATTGCCTAGAATCCTGCTTTAGGCCATAGAGAGATTTTCTTAATTTGCATACCAATTTTCCTCGGGGATTAGATTCAATTCTCTTCTCCCCCTGAATTTGATAACCCGAAGGAACATCCATATAAACATCCTCAACCAAATAACCATTGAGAAAAGCATTATTAACGTCGAGTTGAGACAAAAACCAATTTTGTATAGCAGCTAAAGCCAAGAAAACTCTGACAGTTGTGTGTTGGGCAACAGGAGTGAACGTTTCTTAGTAATCAAAACCTTCCCTTTGAGTATATCCTTCAGCTACTAAACGAGTTTTATACCTTTCCACATGTCCATTGGCTTTGAATTTGGTCTTATATACCCATTTGCAACCCACTGTTGTCTGGTTTGGAGGAAGATCAACAATATCCCAGTCTGGTTCTCAGATAAGGCTGCAAGCTCATATTGCATTGCTTCCCTCCAATGTTCATGTTGAACAGCTTGTTGATATTTGGTAGGTTCAGGTGGTTGAGATGAGATATTCATGACATAAGTATGGAGTTTAGGGGATAATTGGGAATATTCCAGGACTTTGGATAAAGGATGAGAAGTACAAGTTTGAACAATGTGAGAAAGTGATGTATGATAGTTTGTGAGATAGGTGGGAAGTTGTTTGGGTCGTGTGCTACGTCTGAGAGGATGAGGATTTGAATTAAGAGGATGGGATTCAGACTGATCAGACTGAGATGGATGAGTTGCAGCTGCAAAGAAGTCTGATCCGATGGTGAATTTGATGGAGAATGTGAAGAAGGCTGATGATGAGCTGGTAAATTATAATATGGAATTGGAATATGAACTAATGGGGATGGAATATTAGCAGAAATGTCAGGATGCTTAGTGAATGGAAATATTGTTTCATGGAACAACACACTCTGGATGGATGAGCTGGTAAATTTGATGGAGAATGTGAAGAAGGCTGATGATTCAGTGAAATAGGCGTCAACAGATTTTGTTCCTTGAGAAATATTGCTGAGTCGATGTTGAAGATTACAGATCTTTGAATCATCAGGTTGAGAAAAACGCCGATGCAACTTATCCCAGATTTCACTAGCATCATTGAGATAAAAAATAGTGGAGGCGATTGGCTGTGAAATCGATCTCAACAACCAAGTCACAATGAGATTGTTACATCTTGTCCATGGCAAATAAGCTGGATCTGTTGAATCAGGTTTGGCAATAGATTTATCCAGAAACCCTTCTTTATTTCGGATAGACACCGCGACCATGAACGATCTTCTCCATGTTGTGTAATTTGTTGTTGTTAGTTCAGGAGTAACAACAATTGATCCATGATTTTCAGAATGACGAAGATAAAATGGTGATGATGAGTCTTCATTGAGGTTGCGAGAAATTCCTTGAAAATCCGCCATTGATGAAGTGATTTGAGAAAAATGATTGATGAAAAACTAAGTCTCTGATACCATGTTGAATTGATACAAAGACAATGGGAGAAAAATATCTGAAAGAAATTACTACCGTTGATCTGCCGTGTCTTACATATATATATTTAGTGACTAATCAATCTAACTAATTAACTGATTATTTAACTGAAAATAACAGAATTAACAACCCAAACTATATAACCGAATTTCCACTAATATTTTCCTCTTCCAGCTGGCCGTCTCCTTTGCTGGACAAATCTTGACACAATGGTTGAATCAGCATGTCACTTGTTAATCTGAAACTCCATAAAAGCCATTTTATTTACCCTGAAAATATATTTGAAAGATGATAATAACTTCATGAATAAAGCAAGAATCCAGAAGGTAAATTGTTTACTTAAAATTTCAACACAACAACTAACCATTTGTCAATGCAAAAATGGATTACTCATTCAGGGTTAGTAGAGTGCATCAATCTAAGAGTCGTCCTAAAATTTTCAACTCCATCGACTTATACGAATGATGGAGTCTTAGTTATGATATAGTCTTCTTTTGCATGGGGTGCATCGCCTGCCTTCATTTTCATTATCATTGGTTTTCACCTCACCCATTAAAAAAAAAAACACTACAAAACATCGTACATGTTCTTGAAGATATTTGGAAGATATTATTTTGTGAATACAAGTCTAATTATTGTTAGAATATTGCTTATGTGCTTGCTAAATCTTGCTAAAATAAAGTA